ATTCTGCCAGTCTTGGTTGTTAGTACTGAGACTTTTGACACATGGACAGCGACCCATGTAGTGACCACCTTGTTGAAGACTCACAGCAGTACCACCACCACAAAAATCTCCCTCGTTCTGACCCTTGGTCATCAAATCATCTCACTTATTCTCATCCTCTGACAACCATGGGATCTGATTTCTGTCCTTGTAGCTTTGCCTTCTATAGTATGTGACCATTTCATACCAGCATTCCTCTCTTAGTAGTTATGCATTTGCAATTCATCCCTGTTATTGCATATATCAACAGTTCCTTCCTTTATATTGTTCAATAGTGTCCTGTTGTATGGCTCTTATTAATTCCTCTTTGATTGACGTTAGTTTCTGTTGATTATGAATAAGATTTCCACCAACATTCATGCACGTGTTTTTGGGTGAACATGTGTCTTGGTCCAGCCTTCAGGTCAAGCAGCATCGACCCGAGGTTGTTGAATTATATGACAAATTGCGTTTTAGCTTTATTAGAAATGGCAGTTATAATTTCTCAAGACCAGCATTCTTGTTGTTATTTTTAAGGATTCTTCACCTAACTTCAGGTCATAATGATTTTTCTTTTACATTTGCTTGCCAAAATGTCATTGGTTTAATGCTTTACATTTTGACCCATGATCCATCATAAGCTAAGGTTTGTACAAGGTGTAATATTAGACTCAGGTTTTATTCCTTTTTTCCCCTTCCTTTTGTCACTTTTGCTTGTTTTGCTTTATTTGTGTCTGTGTGTGTTCGTGTGTGCTTCGATGCCAAATGTTGCAGTGCCATCTGTGAAAGACTTTGCTTTCTGCATTGAATTTTTTTCTCAACTTTTAAAAAACTTGGCTGGCATGAGCAAATCAGCAGACACGGTGAAGCAGGTAGCTCCCAGGGCTTCCTGAAAAACAAACAAAAAAATCAATGAATAATGATCAAAATCATGTTTCTCAGAAGTTTGGAAAACAGCCTACGTTTTCCACAAACAGGCAAAGGTGAGCCAGGAAACAGGCACGTTTAAGGCAGTAGGAAATAATTGTGTCCTTCTTTCTGGTCCTTGCCCCATGCCCATACCCAGCTCAGTGGCAGTCCTGTATACTGCTGTCCATACTCTTGGTGTGAGACTCTGCTCTGTGGATCCCAAGAAAGTTGACTAGACCTCCTAAAGAACTGTATATTTCCATTTTGGTCTGTCTTAGGACTAGCTGAAGGACTGATCTATGTTACTCAGAACTCACCAAGGACAGAAAAAAGCAGGCAAATCATCCCTAAAAAACATTATAAAACAAACAATCTGCAGCCACTTCCAGGAAAAGATTATGTTCCAAAGAGTGCTGAAAATTTAGCAGGAAAAACTGGAGACAGAGGGAAATTAGGGCATTCATTACCTCCCAGGTTAGGAGGAAATAAATATGGCAGGGTTGAGGAAGGGTGTGTTTTCCAGCTGCCCCATGGCTAGGGAATCTAGCAGCGGGGATACTGTTCACCAAGTTTCAGTACCAGAATTGCAGAGGCCCAGAAATTCGGTCACACCAGGGACACTGGTTCACCACAGAGGGGAGGGGAGACCCAGGCTAAAAGAGAGAAAAATCTACAAAGTATTTGGCATGGGGATAGCCAAGGAACAGAGAGGCAGTCTGGTCTTAAATGATCCAGAGGCAGCACAGTGAACTGGTGTGTAAAAGTGTTCCACTGGCAAGAGGAGAGCAGAGGCAGCAGGCCACCTGGAATTAGCCACCCAGTGACTCTCTGCTGTGGGGGAGCCCCTGGGGTTCATATTAAGTATCATCAGACTGTCCCTGCACGTACCTGTCGTGAGATCTAGAGTGCTTCTGGAAGAGTGAGGTGTGATTGAAACAGGCACAGAAAAATTGCACCCAAGTGGACTCAGGCCTAGGAAAAACCCTAACCCTAACCCTAACCCTAACCTGGCGGTGTGCAGGTGGTTCGCGGGATTAGCCTGAGAGAACCCGGAAACTGGACCAGTAGTAAACTTTTACACTCAGCTCTGATCCTGGTGTGAGATATAGGACCATTTTCAAAATACACCATCTGATAGCCTTAATTGGAAGGTAAGGTCCAATCCTAGCCATCTACAGACTCAATGCAATCCCCGTCAATATACCAATGACATTCTTCACAGGACTAGGAAAAACAGCCCAGAAATGTAGATGGAGGAGTTAAAGACCCAGAATACCAAAGCAATCCTGAGCAGCAAGGATGAGCCTCGGGCCGTAGCAATACCTGATCTTAAATTACACTCTACAGATATAGGAGCAAAAAACAGCATGGTACTGGCATAAAACCAGAAAGGAAGACCAGTGGAACAGAGTAGAAAAGACAGAGACAAAGCCACATGAACACAGCCATCTGATCCTTGACAAAGGTGCGGAAAGCACACCTGGAGGAATAGATAGACTTTTGAACAAACGGTGCTGGGAACACTGCATATCCATATGTTTTACTCAGGTTTTCTTTACTGCTGTGAGCAACAGGCCTGACAGGAACAATTTTAAGGAGGAAAACTTTATTTTCGGGCTCACAGTTTCAGAGGTCTCAGTCCAATGACAGCCGGCTCCATTCCTCAGGGCTCAAGGTGAAGCAGAACATCATGGCAGAAGTGTGTAGTGGAGAAAAGCAGCTCGGGGCATGATCAGCAAGCAGAGAGAGGCTAAGCTCAGCCCAAGAAATATACACCAAAGGTACATCACCCCCCAGCGACCCATCTCCTCCAGCCACACCCTACCTGCCTAGTGACCACTCAGTTAATCCCTATCAGGGTATTAACACACTGATTGGGTTATGGCTCTCATCACCCAAACATTTCACCCCTACTCCTTGCATTGTTTCACACATGAGCTTTTGGGGGTCACCTTATATGTAAACCGTAACAGCACGGGTAGAAGAATGGATCCTAGATCCCTAGCTACCAGCCTCCACAAAAATCAACTCAAGGTGGATCAAAGTCCTACGAGTTAGACTAGAAACAGTGAACCTGCTGGCGAAAACGTAGGGGCAACTCTCCGACATATTGGTGAAGGCACCAACTTCCTTAGTAAGGCTCCTAAAACTCAAGAAATAAAACCAAGAATCAGTAAGTGGGATGGCATAAAATTAAGGCGCTTCTGCACAGCAAAGGAAAGAAGAACCCAAAGAGAGAGCCTGGAGATTGGGAGAAAGTCTTTGCCCACTACTCTTCTGACAGGCAGTTGATTAAAAACAATATATGAAGAAAACAAACAATCGAAAAAACTTTACAGCAAAACAGCTAATAACCCTCTCAATAAAATGGGCAAAACATCTAAATAGACATTTCTCAAAAGAAGAAATACAAACGGCCGATCAGTATACGAAACAATGCTCAACATCCTTAACAATCTGGGAGATGGGAATCAGGGTGGCCCTGAGATTTCATCTTCCCCCAATTAGAATGGCAATCATCAAGAATACGAATAATGATAATTGCTGGTGAAGATGTAGAGGAAATGGCATGTTTGTCCGTTGTTGGTGGGATTCAAATGAGTATGACCACTTGGGAAAGAAACATGGATTCCCTCAAAAGACTAGAAATGGAGCCCCCATATGACCCAGCTATCCCACCCATGGGTATGTCTCCCAAAGAACAAAAATCTGCCTACTATAGTGATACTTCCTCACTTTCATGTACTGGATACACAGTTCACACTGCATTCCTGCATCCCCTGACCAACGGGAATTCAGAGTATTCCCAGATTATTCCCTTCACCAACTTTCTTGTGCATGTGTCTTTGTGCACCACACATAACCAGCTTTTCTCCAGACGATGTGCCCAGCCCTTGCTGAACTTAGCTCTGAGTCTGTTTCCTTTCCTTAGTAAGGTGGCAACTGTGGTCTCCTAAACCTGGGACTGTCCTGTGAGGATGAGTTAATATTTATCTACAGTGCTAAGGAGAGGGCTGGCACAGAGTGAAAGTTCCAGAATTTTCATCCTGCTCATTCTGCTCAATTAGCTTCCCTATTGGCTGGCCCCTCCCCACCCCCTCACACAACCTACACCCCCAGTGGATGTCAAAAACACCAGTTTGTTCACAACCTCTTCCACCCATGGTTTGCATGTTCTTTCACTGTTGTAAACGTGGTCTACGAAAACGGATTCATGATTTTAGTTTGTATCTTTAGGATCAGTGATGGTGAACATCTCTTGGGGCATCTTTGACACAGGGATCCCCGTTACTTCACATTAACTACTGTGGGGAGTAGGATAGGTTCTGATAGAGTGGGCAAACAACATACTGCTACTAAAGTACCCTGGGCATGCATCCATGTGCTAATTTGATTGCCTATGGAAATCCAGCCATAGTGGGAGATCCCACACATTGCAAGTCACAAAACACCTGCTCTATGACCTTCATTAAAAAAAAAAAAAAGGTAGTACAAGGAGCACTGACGATTGACTATGGATCTCCTCACCCACTTTCCTTTCGGTCTGGAGGTATTGCTGGGGAACAGGGACTTGCAAATTCTTCCTGTGCTGAGTGCTCCATACCCGTCTTTATATTGAACCCTGATCCAGGCAATATTATTTCCCCCACTGTACAGATGGGAAACTGGGGCTCCGAGATGAGGCCCTCATCGGAAAGGAGGCTGCCAGCCAGAGTGCGTGGGTCAGGAACGTGGGCAAGAGCGCACCCACAAGCGAACTCCGCTGCTGGGACTGGCTTGGAAACGGCCAGTAGAACCAGAAACTTCCCAGCAGTCCAAGCACCCAGGTCCCTACTGTTGATGACCCAATAAGGGGCGTGGTGGTTGGCAGGGGGGAGGGGCCGGGCCAATGAGGCCCACTGGGGTGACGCAGAGGGGCAGCAGATGCCGGTATCGAAGAGGCGTGAAACCACGCAATGTTTGTGGTATCTCGTGTGTCTTCTGTGGTGACCGCGTTCGCGAAGGCCTAACTGTTCTCGCTCGGACGCAGGGCGATCCTCTGTCTTCGACCCTGGCTGCCAGGCCTGCCCGACATGAGCTCAACCGACGAGGCTTCGGTTCAGGAAGATGGTTTTGGCCTGGACGGTGTGAAGCGCACCATCGTCACCAGTGCAGGCCCCAGAGCCACACGGGTACCGGGCCTGGGCCTTGAGCTGGGGCCCCCGCGGAGTGGGGAGGGCGAGGGCGGCCTCCCAGACCCTGAGGGCTATGAGTTCGAGTTGGAGGCCCAGGGGGAACAGCTAGAGGCAGGAGGGGCGGTGCTGCGGGTTGGCGAAGGCAGGCCTGGCTCCATGGCTGATAAGAAGGGGGATGCCCTGGACTTCGTGCCCCACCTCGCTGTGGAGTCTGTGGCCAGCGTGCAGCAGCTGACAGGCCAGGAGACCCCGGCCGCCCACAGATACCTGTCCCCGGAGAGCTGGGTGGCTGAACTGTCCGCCATTTGGGCTAACGCAGAGGCAGGCCCCAGCCGGAGATGGGCGCTGGCCCCAGGTTCCTTGGAAACACTGCAGGCCCCATCTGCTGCCCCTCTGCGTCACCCCAGTGGGCCTCAGGTGGGACAGGCCTGGGGGAACCCCGGGAGAGGCACCAAAACTAGGATGATGGGCAGTGGGGAAGCCCAGTTGCCCCCTTCTGATCCTGAGTCTTCAGATGAATTCACTGAGATACAGCTGGTGAGGGTGAGCCTTTGCCCGAAAGAAGGAGGCCAGACCAGTTCCAGCAGCCCCAGGGAACCGGGAGACACAGCCAACTGCGCCTGTGTAGGGACCAGAGGGAATTTCCTTCAAATACCTACCTCTCTGCCGACCTCTGCTCCCAGCCGACTCACCTCTGCCATGGAAAGGCAGGCCTTGGGAGAGCTGGCATCCTGTTCCTCCAAGAAAAGGCAAAGCGTGATCTGGGGCAAGGGAGGGAGCAGGCCCAGCTACCCTGGAGCAGCAGCTGCTGCTGTTGCTGCTGCTGCTGCTGCTCCTCTTCCTCCTCCTCCTCCTCCTCCTCCTGCTACTTTTGCTTCAGGAGGCCTGCCCAGGGCCACTCCTAGGAAGAAGGCCATCCAGGAGAAGAAATCCCTGGGGAGTGGCTCAAAATTTAGCCTGGGCAGGGTCTTCCCTATATGGGGGCAGAGACTCAAAGCCGCTCCTCTGGAAACGGCCACCCTTCCCCCAATCCCGGGTGTTCCCCTGTTTGGGAGGTCCAAGAGGTATTCCTTGGTGCCCTTGGAACCCAAGCAGCCCAAGCACAGTGGCACTGCAAAGAGATCTATGGCGAAGAAGACACAGGAATCCCATCCTGTGACTGGTGATGATAATGACCCAAATAGAGCTACAGTTCCAACAGCCCAAGTGAGTAGGCCTTTGCAGTCCCCCTCCTCCTCCTCCTCCTCCTCCTCCTCCTCCTCTTCCTCCTCCACTCACTCTGCCTTTCTCCTCACCCAGCCCACACTTCTTTGCCCTTACTCTCTCTGCCTCTTGTTCAGGGGTTGTCGTTGGGTGCCCACTGTCTGGGGGTCTCTGTGGTCGGGGCGGACATCAACAAAGAACCTAGTAGGTGCTGGTGCCTGTTGGCCACACTTTGTGCATTTCCTGCCTCCTCCCCAGACGGGCTGGGGTGGGAAGCAGGTCTGGCTGCTAACATGAACAGGAGTCCCCTTACACTTTGGGCCACACAGCAGAGTGTTTAGTCCCATCTGCCTCCAGATTCATTCCTCCCAGCACTTCTCCCAGGAGGCCTGAGCTTTCTCCATGACCCTCATGCTTCTCCCTGGCCCGGGTCCACCTCCTGGCCTGGGGCTGAGAGAGGGAGACAGTGCTGGCAAGATGAGCCTTGGAGTTCCCCCTTCATTCCCCACCTAACCCAGCCCCCGTACGCACCTAATCATACGCAACAGGCACACCCCCTAACCTGAATCACTGAGAAATCTGTGTTAGTGTCCAGCACACCGGCCGGGGACACCTTGCCTGTGCATGCATCGTGGAGACTTCAACAGTGGTGACCCCAACACCAGAGCCCCCCAGCCTCCGGCAAGCTCCCAGCCCTTGGACCTGAGTCAGGGAGGCCTCACCCCCAGAGGCCCTGCCTCTGGTGAGTGTTGTGGGTTGGACGGGAGGGGAGAAGGGTGGGACCCTCTTACTCTATCACTTCTGGGGACCCTGGCCTTGATCCCAGGCCTTTGTGCCTACGCAGGAAGTGTTCCCACAGGAAACTAGGTGTGAGCAAGTCTGGCTTCGGGCCACTTGATTCCCTGTGCGGGGTTTACGTGAAGGGATGCTTTTGTAGCAGTGCCCCAGACGCCATCTGCAGAAGTAGACTTGCAGCAGAACGTGGCCTTTTGAATTGGGGCCTGTTCAGTCACATGGCTCCTCTCAGGGGCTGGCTGTGTCTGCACTTCTGTTAGTGTCCAACCCTGAGCCACAGGGGGGTCCACAGTGGCAGCTGGGGCTGACACTGGGTAGCAGAGAAGGTGGGCCAAGAGAGAGGGGTGGAGCTGTGGGGCAGAGCAGGTGCAACTTGCTGCCTGCAGAGGGGGATGCTGCCTCCCTTTAGACCCAGCCAGGTCCTCTCCATTTCCCAAGCAGGCTGGAGAGCTGGATCTTGTGTTCTCTTTCAGGTGATCAGGAGTCAGCTGTGCATCACCCAGTTCTAGAAAGGCAGCAGCAGCAGCCACCCGGAACACAGGGCTGTCTCCAGGTACCACTTTCTGTGGCTTCTAGGAGTGCTGGCCCCCGCTGAGATGGTGGGCTGCGTGTGCAGGTTAAGCTGACTTTGGTGCTCCCATGCATCCTGCACCACAGGGACGTCGGGCTCCACCTTTCCCCTGAGGTTTCCCTCTGCCTGTGTTGTCACCTGGTTCTGGCATATGGGGGACCTGAGGAGTGGGAGCCAGTGGAAGGAGGCGGAGAGTGGAGAGCAGAATATCATTCTCTTTTCTCTTTCTCCGATGTCTATGTAACTAGTGTGTGGCTCTACAGAAAGAAATAGAGGACCTCAAAGAACAACTAGGTATGAGGAGTTGGAGTGGGCGGGGGGGGGGGCTGTGGCAGGGGCGGGGCAGAGGCAGACCTCAGTGTCTCCTGGTGCAGGTGTCTGGGGCGGGGTGGGGCTGCAGGGACAGGCAGCATCACAGGGCTGGACGTTGCTGTGCCTGGCCCGGGAGCCTTCTGTGCCTTCTTGACTGCCAGGGCCGTGCACAAAGAGCAGTGAATCATGTGAACTCCATGTACTCTGCCTTTGAGTCCCACAGGTCTCCTTCTCTGAGGACCTTTTGAGACGCCTCCTTTATTTTCCCTTTAAGTGCTGGTTGGTGTGGTTTGCTTGGTGGTTGTTGTCCGGTGTTTGTATGCTTGCTTGCTTGTTTGCGTTTAACACATTTTTGGATGCTTCTGCCACACCCCAGTGTTTGAGCACTACCGGTGCGTGTTCTGTCATAGAAGACATTTCCACATTGAGTTCCAGTGGCAGGTGGGGGAGTCATTCCCAGGGCTGATCGGACAGGGGCTGGAGGGGACTCAGATTCCAGGGGCAACTGGGAAGGGGAGGCAGGGGGACAGTCTCTTGCACTCCTGTGTCTGGAGTGCTCGGTCATGCCTCTCTCTTTCAGCGGTCATGCAGTCCCTGGATGACAAGTTCCAGGTCTTCTGAAGTGAGTGTCAAGCTTATCATCCCTCTTTCCCACAAACCTGGCTATCTGGGGATTGGGGGTGGCTGTGAGCCTGCACTGGTCCTGGGTTGGCCCTGACTCTGCTCTGCTTGTCAGGCCGAACAAAGCATCTTCCAGTGAGGTGAGCTGCTGGTACCTGTGAAGCCCAGGAGCAGCGGCCAAGCTCATTCCCTCTGGCTCTTCAGCCAGGGCCCCCTGCAGTTCACAATTAAAGTTCCCCTCATGTCCTGTGTTCCGCCCTCTCTCTGAGTAGTGGGGGCCTGTAGGGGACAGGAGATGGGTGGGAGCTGCCCCATCTCAGAGCAGGTTAGGAACAGTACCCACGGCATTTCGTGGTGGGCCTGTCCCTGAGGCGGGTGTTCTTGGGTGGCCTCTGAGCAGGAGCCCTGTGTTCAGGCTCCATGGTGCCCTGGGTTTGGTTTCCGTGTGGCCTGGGTCCAGTCCTGCTAGCATGTCCTCCCTTTGCCCACCAGCTCTCTTGGTGCTCTCTCCTAATGTCCTTCCCTCTGGAGGGAAGGGTCATGCAGGACCCATTCTAGCCTTCTCACCCCGCCACTTTCAGCAGGAATTATTAAGGCCCATCCAGAGCCCAGTTCCCCTGCCTTCCCAGCTTTTTTTTTTTTTTTCATTGCCCTGCTTCTCCCCTCTCACCCTTCTTTTCCATCCTGAGCATCCTTGATCTCTCCCATGGCTTCCCCTGGTGGCCTGTCCTGAGTGAATGATTTCAACAGGCTTTGGAGGGCACAGTTGAGCTCACCTTCCCCCTCCCAGGCCTAGTCTTATTTCTGGTATCATTGTCTTCCTCAGGTGTCACCACACAGAGGGACAGCTCAGCTAGAAATCGCCCATCATCCTTAGTTCCCTCTTACCCCTCACCTCTGAAGCCCAGTGGGCAAATTCTGCCACGTTTCCCTTCTTCTTTCAGTAGAGGGGTAGGGGCAGAGGTCACAGCCCAGTGGGTGGCAGAACAATGCAAGGGTACAGGTAACTTGGAGAAAAGTGGTTTGTCTCTGGTTATAGGAGGGGGCTGTGGGTCTGTGGGCCAACCTGGAGGAAACTGCCCACGGGCACCTGGAATGAACGGTCAGGCACGAGAGTGTCCACATCCTCCCATATCCTAGTCGGTCGACCAGCCCTTCCGATCCGGTCAGCTCCATAGCTCTCGTTTGAAAAGGTCCAGTTTATGTCTAGGGCAAATGTGGATGAGAGATCTGCGTGTGCATGAACGGTCCCCATCCAGAAACCTTCTGAGCACCCCCATGGCACTGATCCTCCTGGACATGATGATATTGTGAAAAGCACAATCTCACAGACTGCCTCCTGAGGACACATGAGATTCTGTCTGAGCTCCATATTCTGATGTCACTGTCCCTGATGGATAGTTGGTCCAGCTGTGCCTAAGACTCAGTGATAGATTCATTCATTTTTAAGTGAGGAGAGACAAGTGTGGGTTCTCCAGCTCCCATCCCAAACACGCTGGATGCATAATAAGCAAGTCCAACTAATGAAGATGTTGCTTTTAAGATGTAGGTGTGTGTGTGTGTGTGTGTGTGTGTGTGTGTGTGTGTGTGTGTGTCTGGGTGTCTGGGTGTCTGGGTGTCCACGTGTGCTATTTGCATCCAATGAATTGGAGATGGTGGCCCTTGAGGAAAACCGATATGACTTTGGGAATGGAGGCTGTGGCGGCAGGGCGCAGAAAGCAGAGGGATCAAATGCACAAGGCTACCTCAGAATATCTGGTTCTCCCCTTGCCTTTAAAGCAGCGAGCACCTGTGGGCGATGGCCGTGCCCTGAGCTGAACCCAAGTGGGATGTTCCTGTGGAGGATGGAGAGTGGGACTGCCTGCTGCGGACTGGATCAGGCTTGGGAACACCTTTCCCTAGACTTCCACTCTGTGTCTCCTCCGAGTCCCATGGGATAGGCTTAGGGAGACAGACCTTCACACACACGGTAGACCTCAGAGCCAGAAAGGATCAGCAGCAGAGGGACTTAACACCATCCACTTCAAACCTCCCCCTAAGCAGGGGCCTGGGTTCCTTAGGCTGTGGCTGAGACCCTGACACAAGTAGCTGTTCCTTGGAGGGGTAAAACACAGCAAGATTGACATCTGCTTGAGGAAGCTGGCCGGAGACTCTGTGGCTGGGGTTCCTGCCACTGAAGACATTCAGGTCAGTTCCAACTGGGGTGAATTCTGGCACCATGCTCTGTCCTGGGAGGCAAGGGGCCATCCTCCCAGGTCAGCCTATTGACCCAGAGCAGCCTATTGACCGAGCCTTGCCTAGGCACAAACTCGACTCTTGGTGACCAGCTTCCACCAGCCCTGCTTCTTCCTTCGGAGCACAGGTTCTGTCTGCCCCCTGCTCATACCAGACACAGCACAATAGTGTTGCTGTTACAAGTACACCATGCCACTAGCCATTGTTGGTGCCAAATGACCAGAATTAGGGACAGATTCTGAGGTTCTATCAGGTTCAGATGGAACCAACTTCACACCCCTCCACATCCGCTTTTCCCCCAAGCCACCTCTGCCATGCAGGGGAACTTAGTGTTGGCCTGGAGAGCTTCAGGTGGGGTCTTGCCTCTTGGTGCTACTCTTCTCAGAGTGAGCTCTGGAGGCTGGCTGGACCATATGCCTGTGCTTGATGCAGCTGCACCTTGGAGACATGAGTGATATTCCACTTGGACCAGGTATCCGATCTCCCACCTGTTTATTTCCAAACATGAGCTTTCACCCTGGGGGCAGTAAAGATGGAATCCCCACCAGGCTCCAGCTAGGGCAAAAGGGGTACCAGACAGTCAGCTGGCAAGAGGCATCCAGTGCAACCATCCCCAGCTGTGAGTAGGCCCGAAAGAGTGCATTCTGGAATATCAGGTGACATCATGGTGGTAGGTCACAAGCATGGATTCTAGTCCTTGCTTCACAAACTTCCAGGTGAACTTGGGCAACTTTGTGCCCACCTGTCTCCAAGAACTCCTTTCCTCGTCCACAATTCCTTGTGATCCATCTCCTTTTTGGTGAAGGCAGCTCAGGTGTCTGCCGGGTTCAGCTGTGTACACTGTGGCCGCCAGGATGGACATGTGAGCCATACCCATGTGAAGCCATGCTGCAGTGTTCGCATGATGACGACCTGAGCTGGGATCTGGCAGTTTGGCAGGAAAGAAATCCCAGGTAACCACCACTCAGAGTGAGAATCACAGCATTGCCAGCACCGGGACCCTCCTCCTCCAACAACTTCCCCATGCATCATTTACTTCTGCTGAAAGGATGAACGATCGCTCTCAAAGAAGATCCCTCACTAAAATACAAAAACCAATGGTGGCTACCAGAGGCCCAGGAGAGTAGAGGGAGGGGTGGGGGAAGGTTGATCAATGGGTACTCAGTTACAGTTAGGTAGGGGTAAGGAGTCCCGGTGTGCAATTGTTGAATATACACAACGATTATCTACTGCACATTTCAAAGAGCCAGAAGTGGACTTCACCCATGGCCACCCACGGGAGGAGAGGTGAGATGGCAGGTGACATCACTAAGTCTCAGGCAACGTGGACTGGTGGCAGCACAATGTTTGGGAAGATCACCTGCAAAGTGAATCCCAGTCAAACTCATTTTTGAGGATGAGCAGGGTCTTGCTTCCTTTCCCTGAAGCATTAACTTGTTTTCTGGAGGTACCCCAGAAAGGGTATTTCAGATTTCTGGAGCAGCAGAAATCTTATAAAAATCTTACAAAAGTATCCTTGGAGCCAATCCCTAAAAAACAAATGCCGAATGTCTTCTTTGATATAAGGCGGGGGGCGGGGGGGGGCGCGACTCAAAACAGAGCAGGGAAGAAGAGCATGAGAAGAAGATTACCATTAAACAGGGACGAGAGGTGGGAGGGAATGGGAGAGAGAAGGAGAATTGCACGGAAGACGGAAGGAGACCCTCATTGTTATACAAAATTATATATAAGAGGATGTGAGGGGGAAGGGGAAAAAAGAGAGAAATGAGTTACAGTAGATGGGGTAGAGAGAGGTGATGGAGGGGAGGGGAGGGGAGGGGGGGATAGGAGGGGGATAGGAAGGACAACAGAATACAACAGACACTAGTATGGCAGGATGTATAAATGTGGCTGTATAACCAATATGATCCTGCAATTTGTACACATGGGAAAAATAAGAATTCATACCGCATTTGAATCAAATGTATGATACATGATATATCAAGATCATTGTAATGTTTTGAGCAACTAATAAAAAAAAAGTATCCTTGGACATTTGCAGATTGTTGGCAGGAAATGTGCTTTTGATCTGGGCCCAAAGAAGGCTTATTTCACGTTGGTGAATGAAGTTTCAGGGTGTGGGTATCCACCGTGTTCATTTGCGTGTCCTTGGAGGTTGACAGTATATTGGCTTCCTGGCTATGCATGATTTGGGGACCATTTTCCCTTCTCTAGGCAGTGTTTGCATCAAGTTTGTAAGATCCACCATGTGGAGCACTACACTCACTTTTGCCCGTGTAGCGATAAATGGAGAAAATGATTTCTCAACAATACTCATAATACAAACTTTGTTGTCTGGTGAAAAGAAAAATCTGGAAGAAAATATTTTGTATATTTTCTCTATATGGAAATGATAAATGAGAAGATAGATGTTTTTAACCTAATTTACACATTACACAATGTATGCATATTGAAACGCCACATGGTACTCCAGTCGCTTGTTGAGCTTTCATGTTTTTGATGTATCGGTCTAAAATCTTCATAGACAATAAAATTGCTATGAGAGGTTTTCAGTATCATGGTCATCCAAAAACAAGGTAAGTATGTGAAATAATACATGTTACTTAGCTCAGTTTAGCCATGCTACAATGTGCACGTATTTCAACACATTATGCCACACACCATAATTATATACAATGTTTGTCAGTGAAACATACATAGAAATATGCTGGGTGCAGTGGTACACACCTGCAATCCCAGGGAATCAGCAGGCTGAAGCGGGAGGA